GAGGCCCTGTGGGACGATGCCTGTGGCGAGCAGCAGGCCGTGCCGGGGTGCTTGGTGGCGAGGCTCAGCGTGGATGGACCGGCAAGCCGCGGATGCGGCACAGGACCATGCAGCGGGGCTGTGGCTCGGGCGCGTGACGGAGGAGGCGAAGCGACAGTGGTTGCTTGGCTCGGGGGCTGTGGGGCACGGCGGGCGGGCGTGACACGCCCGGTGGTGGCGTGCGGGTCGCGGCCAGGCCGGTGCCGGCAGCTCGCGTGCGCGGGCGTGGTGCGGGAGAGGAAGCAGAGTGGCACGGGTGCGCCTGCGCTCACGATGGCCAGGCAGCGGCGTCGGCGGGGGCGGAGGAGCGAGTCGAGGCGAAGCTATGGGAGGGGCAGCGCTGCGGGCTCGGCGCGGGACGGCGCTCCAGGCGCAGCGTGGAGGTCACGCACGGAGGTAGGGGCGGCGCGGAGGCCGGCGAGGCGCTGCGGCTGCGGTCCAGCGCGGGACATGGCGGGGGCGCTACGGCTCCGGTGGTGGGAGCTCGAGGCGGCAACGGCAGCGGCCTCGCTGCACCAGAGGTGGCGCACGGCGGCCTGCTCCGCACAACGCGGCGCCGACGGTGGGGCACAGGGGCTGCTGCGGGTGGGAGAGGGCAGCGCCGATAGCTGCGGTCCAAAGTGGACCAGGGGCTCGGGGGTGGCTGCTCGCACGCGTTGGGAAGGAGCGGCTACGACGGCGCTGGTGCGAGGCAAGCAGAGGAGGGGAAGCAGCTCAGGCGCGCGAGAGGAAGGCGAGGAGGACGAGCAGAGCTGGGACGGATAGGGCAAAGAAAAAGGCAGGCACGCGAAAGAGTTGAGAGCGAGCTCGCCAGCAGGGAGCGGAGCAGACCGACCGGCAGCGACCACGAGCACGTGACGCAGCATGCGAACAAACAAGGAAGGACTATGCGATGCATCAAATCGAAGCAAGCAGCCAGCGTAGCCAGGCCGGCACGCCCATGCGCGCGAGGTCGCGAGGAAGCAACATCTAGTACGGCAGCAGTAACCAGCAAGCAGACGAGCGGAGAAAAGAAATATCGAGGAGCAGTCGATCAACTTGTACAGTCAATTGCTACAAGTATATGTTTGCCCTTTCTTCTAATTCTTTGTTTTAGAGTACCGTCGTAACGTATGTGTATATATATATACCTATATATATATTTAACGGTTTACTAATTTAGATAATTTACAACGTCTATGCATAGGAAAATTTTAGCAAAGCTCGAATTTAAATTTGATTCAAAAGCTATATATATATATATATATATATGGACATCGTTCTATTTATTAATGGATTTTATTTTATTTATAAACGTTGTTTTACCTGCTTAATCTAATAGAACGAACCGTTTGCTATCGAGTGGCCAGAATTGTCGTTCAACATTCCTAAATATTTCTACGCATTGCGTAATTTAACTTGAGCGCTTAATTGAGTCCACGAAACTAAGTTACACAGGATTCGCTTATCACTTCAAATATGTTTTAAATCAAAAATTCGAGAAACTCGTTTCGAAAGTTTTACTTAGGCCTAAATCACGGTGCTAAATAAGATCGTAACACCAGGGTGTTACAACTCATCAGCAAGCTGAAGAGCCATGGCGTCACCATTGACGAAGAGGAGGCGGTCTCCAAGTACCTCCACTCCGTGCCGGCAAAGTACATCCAGATCGCTCTCTCCATAGAGACGATGCTTGACTTGTCCACCCTCACCATTGAGGATGTGACAGGCCGTCTGCGGGCGGTGGACGAGCGCCTGGAGCAGGCGACAGTAACGAAGGATAGCGGGAAACTCCTGCTGACGGAAGAAGAGTGGGCTGCTTGGAGGAACTCCAGGAAGGCAGCCTCCTCCAGCCGTGGTGGCGATGGCAAGTGCCGCGACAAGGTTTCTTTAGAGAAGAAGCAGGTCGACCCCAACGCCTGCCGACACTACGGGAAGATGGGCCATTGGGCACTGGAGTGCCCAAACCATAAGCAGGAGAAGAAGGCTTAGGCTCATCTGGCGTAAGCCGATAATGAGGATGAGGCCACTGTTCTGATGGCGGCGTTCTATGCACTGCACGACGTCTGAAAAGGCCCTGAAGGCCGTCGACCTCGATGAACCTCGCGCACAAGTCCTTCTCGGACGTGTGGGTGGCGAGGAAGAGCAGCGGTGGTACCTGGAGTCTGGCGCCGGCAACCACATGACGGGCTCCAAGACATCCTTCTCCGAGCTCGACGACGATGTTACCGGTACGGTGAAGTTTGGTGATGGCTCAAGGGTGGCTATTCAAGGGCGCGACACCATCATCTTCAGGTGCCAGAATGGGGAGCACCGCGTGCTAACGGATGTATATTACATCCCGCAGCTGCGTTCCAGCATCATCAGCATTGGTCAGCTAGATGAGCGCGGTAGCGAGGTACTGATCAAGGACGGAGTCCTTAGGATCAGGGACCAGGAGCAGCGACTTCTTGCCAAGGTGAAGAGGTCTCTGAACCGGTTGTACCTGCTCGACCTGAAGGTAGAGCAGCCGGTGTGCCTAGCGGCAAGGCATACTGAGGAGCCGTGGCTGTGGCATGCCCGGTTCGGACATCTCAGCTTCGACGCGCTTGGTCAGCTAGAGAAGATGGTCCGAGGGCTACCCCACATCGCGCACAGAGGCGAGATGTGTGACAGCTGCCTGGCCGGGAAGCAGAGGAGGCTACCGTTCCCAAAGGCGGCCAAGTATCGCGCGTCGGACGCTCTCGAGCTCGTCCACGGCGATCTCTGTGGGCCGATCACGCCAGCTTCAAGCGGTGGTCGGTGGTACTTCCTCCTGCTCGTAGATGATTGCAGTCGCTACATGTGGCTGCAACTCCTGACGAGCAAGGACGAAGCGGCGGCGGCGATCAAGAAGTTCAAGACACGTGCGGAGGCCGAGAGTGGCAAGAAGCTCCGCACGCTGAGGACTGATCGCGACAGTGAATTCACTTCGGTGGAGTTCGTTGCGTACTGCGCGAAACAGGGTGTGGTGCGACACCACACCGTGCCGTATTCACCACAACAGAATAGCGTGGTGGAGCGATGGAACCAGACGATGGTCGGCATGGCTCGATCCATGATGAAGGCCAAGGGAATGCCGACAAGGTTCTGGGGTGAGGCGATGACCATTGCGGTGTTCATCCTCAACAGCGCTCCCACCAAGGCCCTGGCGGGCAAAACGCCGTTCGAGGCTTGGTATGGGCAGAAGCCGAGCGTGTTCTTCCTCCGGACATTCGGCTACATTGGCCACATCAGGAAGACGAAGCCGAACCTTACCAAGATGGAGGACAGGAGCACACTGATGGTGTTCCTGGGCTACGCGGAGGGTACCAAGGCGTACCGGCTCTATGACCCACGCGGAGACAAGGTGCTTGTCTCGCACGACGTAGTGTTCGACGAAAAGGCGGCTTGGGACTGGATCAGTCCGAGCACGGGGGAAGCTGGCGGCTTCACCAGCACCTTCGTCGTCGAGCATTTGGTCATCCACGGGAGTGGAGACGCTGGGAAAGAGGTGCCGAGCACTCCGGGAGGGGTGCCAAGCACTCCAGCGGTAGAGCTGAGCACTCCTGGGGCGGTGCCGAGCACTTCGAGAGGGATGCCGAGCACTCCGGGAGCAGTGCCGAGCACTCCTGGAGGGATGCCGAGCACGCCAGGAGTGGTGCCGAGAGATTCTGCAGTGGCGGTGACCACTTCAGGACGGGTGCCGAGCACTCCCATGGCGGAGCCAAGACATCTTGCAGTGGTGCTAACCACTCCAAGACTGAGGCTGGGCACTCCTACAGTGTGGCCGAGCACTGCAGGAGTTATGATGAGAAGTCCAGGTGTAGTGCCGAGCACTGCATCCGGGGTGCCGAGCACTCCAGCTGCTCTGCCGAGCACTCAGGCGGAACAGGAAACTCCATCGACGCCGATCGAGTTCGCCTCACCTCCAAGTGACATCACTGAGTTCGTGGATGCCTACCACGAAGGTGAGGAGGTGTGGTTCCACAGGCTAGACGACATCATCGGCGGCACAGGTCCCTCAAGTCTGGCGGGTAGGCTGCTCAATGACGTAGAGCTGCTACTCGTCAGTGCAGAGGAACCACCCACGTTCGCGCTAGCCGAGTGCGATGGAAACTGGCGACGGACGATGCTGGAGGAGATGAAGGCGATCGAGGAAAACGAGACTTGACAGCTCATCGATCCACCTCCAGGATGCCGTCCGATCAACCTAAAGTGGTATACAAGGTCAAACGGGACGAGCACGGCGCCATTGTCAAGCACAAGGCGCGCCTCGTGGCCCGAGGCTTTGTACAGCGCGAGGGCATCGACTTCGAGGAGGTTTTTGCTCTGGTAGCGCGCATAGAGTCGGTCCATTTGCTACTAGTCTTGGCAGCAGCAAAGGACTGACGCGTCCATCACTTGGACGTTAAATCGGCAACGACAAGCTGGCGGAAACGGTCTTCATCAGGCAACCTCTCCACAGGGTCCATGCCTGGAACATACGTTGTGAAATAGATAAGGCAATTGTGGCAAGCAAAAAGTTCATGGTTATTTTCTAGTTTTGATTTGACAAGTATGGTGAGTGGAGGAGACAGTGCTATCTTACATAGCCCAATAGGTTCATTGACCATTCGTCGTCGACAAAAGAGCTGTTCCTGCGGCCACTCACAATCTCGAGGACCAGCACACCAAAACTGAAGACGTCAGATTTATCAGAGAATTTGCCCTCCATTGCATACTCCGGGGAGATGTAGCCACTGCGTTCCACAGATTTTATCGCATTAGCTTGTTGCCAGGTGATGCTATGTCTACTAGAATAAGAATTAATTTGTCTATTATCCGAATAAAGCAGTAAGATCAGAAAGGTTACAATAAAGAAGATGCAATTACTGAGCAGCACTAAACCAACTATTATAGAAGCAGGTGAATGCAATGGAACTCCCTGTTCAGCTGTATGATGTAGCGAGAAAAAGAGAAAAACAGCCTTACTAGGTTCCGACAATTCGGCGAGTAAGGTCTTGAAGCTGGTGTTCGCCGAAAATTCTAGCCATGCCAAAGTCCGATATCTTGGGGTTGAAATCATCATCTAGTAAAATATTGCTTGCTTTGAGATCCCTATGAATAATTTTTAGCCTGGAATCCTGATGAAGGTACAGTAACCCTCTTCCAATTCCCTGAATAATCTTGTATCGCAATTTCCAGCCTAATACAAGTCTCTTACTTTCATCTGAAAAAAATATGGAAAGTACTAAATGTCCATAGAAAAATTCATTTCCTGGCTGACTGTATAAAGTATTCGTATAAATTCAGAACTCCAAGTGACTGAAACTTACTGAAAATAAATGAGTCAAGACTCTTGTTGGGCATGTATTCATACAACATCATCTTCTCTTCTCCATGAATACAACAACCAAAAAGCCTCACTAAGTTCCAGTGTTGCAGCTTGGATAGCACCGTCACCTCATTCTTGAACTCTTCCAATCCCTGCCCGGAGCTTTTAGATAGCCTCTTAATAGCAATCTCTTGGCCATCTGGTAGTATCCCCTGGAGATACCATCAAATATCCACTATGGTTATCCAGATGAAAAGGATTAATTAAACAAACTCAACCATATCATAACAGTTGGAGGAAGTATATGAAGTTTCCAATACTCCACCTTGAAAACTGGACCAAATCCACCTTCGCCAAGCTTTTCACTGAAATTGTTCGTTGCTGAATAAACAGTGCTGAACTCAACTAATGGTGCGCTCAAAATTGATCTTTTCACCGAATCATCTTCATATATGTTATCATCTGCAGCTGATGTTGATCTATCTTCTCCAGTAATCTGAAATAATGGTTTCCGTGTTCTCCGTGCGCCTGCAATTTGGTGAAAAGTTAACAAAGTGACAAACATACTCCTTTTTGTTTGGAGCATTCAACAAACCTACATAACAATCCATGTAAATAAAACAATGACAGTTACTTCTAAAAATCTGCGGCCATGGAAATTAGACTGATACTGAATCAAATATCCACGTGCAAGTTTCATAATCTGAGCAACAGCGGGATTTGGAAAGTCAAAACGTTAGAACGGATTGAAAAATATGCTGATAAAACGAAGAAAGCACCTTTCTCAAGAGTGTGTGAGGCTATTCATTTGTCAATTTTGGGCATAACTACATAAAAAACAAATAAAAAAAAGAAAGAAGAAGAAGACTGAAGAAACCATGAAGCTCAGATGCATGTAAGAATAAGGCAGAAAGCATCGTATCACCTATTTGCTTGATGATGTGCCTCTTCAGGAAACCAAACACGCAGAAATGCATGGTGCTAATCACGAAGCTAGTGCCGTACTACCAACACACGCAATAGAGGCTTTTATGCTTGGCATATATGAATGCAGGTCAAACAGGAAATTGCATGCCTTTTGCAAGCCAAGAATCACCAAATGCTCCTCTTTTCAACAGAACCATTTGGTCAACTGGGTAATCTCACATGATGATAAAAAAAAAACTGTTAGTTTGATATGATGATGGAACATGATGCTATTATAGAGGGTTTATCTTGTTTGACATCTTGGCTTAGACGACAATACGGAAGAGTTCAGTACTTGTTTATGTGATCAAATGTGACTATTGCTAGATGCCACGATCTGTAGATGCCACGCCTGAACGCGTAGCTTGCTAGAGAAGTAAATAAATATTTTAATTTGTAAACAATGTCATTAGTAGGTTGGGGCAGAAGAGTCTTGATAGGGACATGCACAACAAAACAACAAGCAACAACTGAGCTGGGATGACTCCCCAATAGCCGGTTCTGGATGACCGATTCTGAAACTTTCAGACGCGGAATGTGCATACCTTGCAGCAATATAAGGACCATCACAGTAACTCCATTGGCTCATATTGTCTGCAAAAGCAGAGCAGGGTGGAGCTGACACCATATTTCGGCAAACTATCCCTACATTGCCTTCACTCTTCATCCAGGCAGATCGAGGATGACATTAAAGTGTTAAACGGAACACATTTTGAAAAATAAAATTTTGCGCAAATGGTTAGAGAGAAAGAGACCGTCAGAACACGTACGTGGGCTTATAGGATAAAGTTTAGAGCTCATTTGTGAAGGACCGAAAGCGGCGACCAGAGGGGGGGGGGTGAATGGGAGCCACAAAATTTCTTTCGAAACTTTCTCGACCACTGTCCCAAAATCACCGCCCAACTTACAAATCAAACACCGTGATGTCCACGACCCAAATAAGTGGGTGGATGTTCCCTAGGAACACAGCGGGACATCACAAAGCCAACACAACAAATAGAAATTCAATCGGAGCTCGAACGAACAAGTTACGGACCAAAACGTGTGCTCGGCAAATAGACTAATCAGCAGCACCAGCACTGAACCCTTTCTAGATCAGGACCGAGCACATGCTCTCTGTAGTCCTATACCAGTGGATCACCTTAGTTCACGATGAGAACATTGTAGCAAGGAACTGCACTTGCTAAGCGACAGAAATCATTCGCACATGAACTAAACAAGCTAAAGAATCAAGTAATCATTAGCCTACTGTAGCTTGAAAGTGACCACTCACAAATTTGGATACCAAATCACGTTCGTGTCTAGTACTTGGTGTAGCAATGAATTACCTGCTGCTGTCAAACAACAATGAATGATCGCAAATGCTACTGCAGCTGCGCTGAACGATCCTGCTGCTGCCAGAGAACCAATTGCTTGACAAGAGAGAAATCAGAGCTTGACCAGGCAGCTGAGAATCGGATCTGCTGCCCCTGGAGTCCTGACCACTCGACCTGGGAAACGGAACAACGAAGAGAACAGCCGGCGGTGGGTCTGCTCGCCACCGGTATCGCAAAATAGAAAAAAAGCGATTGAACTTGACACCGAAATTGATGCACGACTGAGCGGAAAGCAGTTCCTCGCGATGGGAACGAAATGGATCACCGGAGATTATAGGCGAGCACAACTCTGGTGAGTGCGCACGGCACCAGAGTGTCGGCGTGGATTGTGCTGCTGCTGAACTCTGCTGGTACCTCCCTTGCACCTGCTTCCACGTGACGAACAGAGAAGAACAACAAGCAAGAACAGAAAAGGCGGACAGCCAAAAATCCGACGAAAAAACGGATCAAATCAAAACAACTCGACCCCAAATTTTACACAGACCAAATTGAACTAGCTACTGAACAAATTCCCAAAGAATCATCTCCGGGACCAACCCAAACTCCGGAAATATAAGATCGCGCCATGAACGAAAATGGGAAAAATAGCACTACATGAACACGAAGAATCACAGTCAAAATAGATGAATCCCGAGAGGACACGAGGAGGATTTGGGCCTCCATTCCCAAACTAAAACCAAGCAAAAACCACCCACGAATTTCTCAGCTCTTGGACCTCTCTCAAGAGTAAGAAACCCTAAGTCTAAAAGGAGAAAAAGAAAATGAAAGAGAGGTAAGGGAGATGGGGCTCCCTCATCCTATTTAACAGGCTATTACACATTCCCAGTTTGCCCTCGGATACAAAATGAGTTGAACCGCTAAGCCCAATGGCGTTGTTGTCCAACCCGGTGTAATCTTGATCCGACGGCCACCACGCCTACTCACCGGTAGAAGCTCGCCGACGCGAACTCCCGATGCCGCCACGCGTCGCCGTCCGTCCCTCCTCGGAACCTCCGCCGGGTTTTGAGGCCCAAACTCAGTAAACCGTCTCATGGTAGCGTACTTCATACGCGTTCCCCGCCATCCGACGTGTGTCACCACCGTCCTCGACCGGCCGGCCCGCCAAGTCCTCCTGAGCCTCGCTCGACTCACGCGTCCGCCGTCTTGACCCGGTCAACACCGTCACTCCATGTCTTCTTGCACTTGTTGATGTTCCAAGTGTCAGCCACCGCGGCTAGTCGTCCGGCCTCACGGTCCCTCGGTCCAAGCCTCACGTCTGTCCTTCACCGCTCTCGGTTAAATCGCACGCGGCACGTCCTCCTTGACCTTCACCTCGCCGTCAACTACCGCCTCCGTGCTCCACACCTACACACCACGAGCCAAGAGACATGCACACATAGCTTTCGCCATGGTAGAGTTAGTAACCGACTCAACCTATTCCGTGGATCACATTGACAATCACTCATCACAAAACGAACACACAAGGGTACTTGTCAACCTTGTGTTCGCAATCTCCCCCTTGATGAGTGCATTGTCAACACCAATACACGAACAGCTTGAGCAATAGAAAAAGAAAAAGAAGAGAAAAGAAAGAACTCACCCAAATGACCAAAAGCCAAAGAAAAGCCAAGAACTGGGTCATTTGAAAGTGAGCAAAACTTGGTCCCCAAAGACATGGGCAACGGCTCGACGCAACCAAGTAAAACAAAGCTAGCCCTCAAGAAGAGGCAACGGGCTCAACACCACTAGCAAAGCCGAAAAACCGAAAAAGCGCTAGACCCTCCAGAAGAGGCAAAGGCTCAACACATCTAGCAAAACACCTCAAATGCAACTCCCACAACAAGTGCAATCTCTCTCAACTTTAAGTGAAATTGGAAGTTTCTTCCCTTGTGTCATTGTGAGTGTGGAAAACTTCTCCCCCTTGTTGACACATGCACTTATCAAGCTAGACCCCAAAGATTGCATCTCCCCCTCAAATCATGCTATGAATGCAGAAATGCACGAATGCAGAAGCTTCAAGATTATAGTAAATAGATTGAAAAGAGGCTCTAGTTGATTTGTCATGTATATATAGCAACACATACAAGTGCTAGCAAATGCTCAAAGTGACCAAATGAGACGAAATATGGCATTTAAGCAAGTTTTGATCAAGTTTGAGCAATTTTAAAAGAGGGTTCACCACCAAAAGAGCACATAGCAAAAATAGACAGGAGATCGACCTTGTGCTACACATGTATGCAAAGTGAACTACCCCAAACAAAGTTCACACATCATGTCATGAAACAAACTTGTGGTTTGAGCAGATTTTAGATACCAATTGAAATTTATCGAGTCATGCGACTTATTACCCAAGTTTGTCGAGACAAGTAAAAGGGAGGTTATCTGTACCATCAAAACCTGACTTAGCGACCATGTCAAGCCTATGCCAAAGACAATCAGAAGCTTAAGACAATGATCTCGGTATCCATTACAGAGCTCAAGTTCACCAATAAGTGCAATTTGAAGCTGTCTCGATACTCTGACATAGGATAGTACAGACCCATCCCGATCTTTTCAATTCACTTAGTTTGTTTTTCAAGTTTTAGCACAAATTCAAGTTTCTCAAGCAAGTGTGTAACTCAAGGTATGAGCCGTAGCAACTAAGCATATATATGAAGCAAAGAAGATCTCGACACATTCTACACATGCTAGTTGCCACAAGTAGTGGTGAACACATTTCATGTTTTAACAAGTTTTAATCAAGTTCACAGTTTGGAAAACAAGCTTAGCTCATAACATGCATCAATTGATCAAAGGGAGCCTAAGTCAATAGCACATCATGTATATCCATACCATCCCCAACAAGGGCATAGTGTCAATCTAGCTACTATAAGGATGAAGCTCAGGATGCAGTATGATACATGATGATATGATATGCAAGTATGATGTAAAAATAAAACAAAAGCTAAACTACAAAGAAAAGCAAAACTAGAATACAACAACCAAAGTTCCCTCCTCTAAAAGGAAACAAACTCCAAGCTCCCTCGCAAGCCGAGCAAACCGGGCTTGGTCAAGTGGTTTGGTGAAGATATCTCATGAGCTGGTTTTGGGTATCAATGTGGTGCGAGATCAATATCACCTTTCTCATAGTGGTCACGCAAGAAGTGAAAGCGAACTTCTATGTGCTTTGTCTTTGAGTGAAGGACTGGGTTTTTGGCTACACTTTATAGCTTTGGTGCTGTCACAAAACAAAGGCGCTCGCCTAAACTCTAACCCAAAGTCTCTCAGAGTAGCTATCATCCAAAGCAACTGGGAACAACAAGCAGCAGCCGCAATATACTCAGCTTCTGTGGTGGATTGGGCGACGCTTAGACCGCTTCTGTAGAAGACCAAGACACAAGAGAAGATCCAAGAAAGCGACAAGTCCCGAAGTGGACTTCCTCTCAACACGACAACCAAAGCATAATCCGCATCGAATACCCGCAAAGAGAAAGAGAGGAGGAGGCCGAAAACCAAAGACCAAACTCGGGTGTGAAACGAAGGTACCTGAGGATCCGCTTGATGGCTTGACGATGAGACGTGCGCGGCGAAGACTGAAATCGCGCACACAAGCAAGCAGATCATGAATCGGATGTCCGGTCTCGTCGCCGTTAGGTACAAAGCAGGACCCGATCATG